TTCCAAGCAACTCTCAAATTATCAATCAATTTTCTGGCCCAATTTTTTGGTCCAAAAAATTGTAAAAGGAACTAGCTGAGTAAATCCAGGAGGTTTCCTCCAAAATAATAAAAGTTCTGGAGCTCCCAATGTATCAGGTCCAAAAACACTCATAAGTAAATGCTTTAACTGTAGATAAATTTGCATGCTCTGGGGCATGGCAAGCCAAATTGTTGCTGAAGATCTACAAATGGTTTAAATTTATCATTGTCAGTTAGCTGTGACACAGTCATAATTCCTCTCTCCATCTAATTCCTCCACATCAAATTTTTGCTTCTGATTTTAAGGGTAGGATTGCGCCATAGAATTCCCTCTACGTGGAAGAATGGATGGAAGTAGGACTTTCTAGCCAAGTTTGACCAAGCTTGCCTCACAGCCATTGTTGTGGGAGCTCGGGAGCCATCAAATCTACAATAATTTGATCCTACAATGCCTGAAAGGGGGAGAGGGTACACCAATTCTCGTTCAGTCTGAACTCAAAGTGGGGTCTGTACAGTCTTATCTAACAGGCACAAAGATGCCTGGCTTAACAAAAAGGAGATATGATAACTTTCCAGGCTGGAAAAATGAAATCCTCCCAGAGATGGCGGTAATTTGTTCAAAGCCGGTCTAGGTATCTTACCTGTTCCCCAAAAGGGACTTTATGAAAATATTACTGAATTTCTTAAAACGAGTTTGAGAATAGAAATAGGGAAACCCCTCAGGACATACAAAATTCTGGGCAAGACATTCATTTTCAGTATGTTAAGTTGACCCCACAAACTCAAGGTTAACGAACTCCATCTCCCCAAGTCATTAGACACATTGTCAGTCACTGGTTCTATTTATATTAGGGATGTCCTGAATATTATTGGGAATCAGCATTCCCAAAGGTTTCATGTAAGAGGATTGCCACCAATTTGAGAAGACATTTTTGGGCTTATTTGTTAATGCCTAAGATTTCTGATTTATCCCAATTAATTTTATATTCTGTGAGATGTCCAAACTTATTAATAGTACTTAAGAAGTTAGGAATAGTAACCTTGGAGTTTAAGATACAAATACAAGAGCATCATCAACACAGAGCATCATTTTGTGCTCTGTTTGGCCCTCCATGATACCTTTAAATATGTTGATGTGCTCAGATGGCAATGGCTAAAGGTTCTAGAGCTTAATCAAACAGAAGAGGAGAAAGGGGGCAGTTCTGCCTAGTACCTCTCTGTAATAGAAATGGGGGGAAAATAATACTATTGGTTACTACCCTGGAAGTTGAGTTAGAATATAAAAGCTTTTAGAATATAACTCAGCCTTTTGGGACAGTGTTTGTTGGATTTCATATCTTTGATTGATGAAGGTTCTGTCTCTCTGGTGAGGGGACAGAAGCGTATTCTACATTCAAGGTCTTAATTTCCTTCACAAAGCTATCAATTCTATGTTCTCTCCATTTCTTTTTAAAGGTGGCATAAGAGATAATTTGGCCTCTGATTAATGCTTAAAAGGCTTCCCAAAATGAGGGAGCTGATGAAGCACTGGGGACATATTTTATTTTTCTGTTCTGGCTCCTGCTGGCTAGAGCTAATAAATGATGTATCAAACAGCAGCGAAGTATTTAATCTCACCATCAGAGGAGTGAAGTTCTGGAACAGCCTCCCGAGGGGAGCAGTGGGGACAAAAAAACAAACTGACTTCAAGACTGAGCTTGATAAATTTATGGAGGAGATGGTATGATGAGACTGCCTACAATGGCATGTAGCTGATCTGTGACTCCTAACAGCAAAAATCTCCAACGGTTGGTGATGGGACACTAGATGGGGAGAGCTCTGAATTACTACAGGGAATTCTTTTCCAAGTGTCTGGCTGGTGTTCTTGCCCACATGCTCAGGATCTAACTGATCATCATCATTTGGGGCCAGGAAAGAATTTCCCCCCCAAGTCAGATTGGCAGAGACGCTGTTTTTGTGCTGCCTTCTGGGGCCCGGATCACTTGCAGGTTTAAACTAGTGTAAATGGTGGATTCTCTGTAACTTCAAGTTTTTAAATCATGATTTGAGGACTTCCATAACTCATCCAGAGGTTATGGATCTATTACAGCAATGGGTGGGTGAGATTCTGTGGCCTGCAATGTGTGCAGGAGGTCAAACTGGATGATCATGATGGTCCCTTCTGCCCTTAAAGTGGGTATTTAATCTCCACATTTTAGTTGTGGGTGTATGCCCTTGAGTCTAAAAGATACATGTATAGGAGTATGGTCAAATGTAACAATAGTACTAATGCTACAATCAGAGGCAAAATTGATCAAGTCTGGACTATTTCTTAATGTCACAAGACTTGATTATGTTGAATGAGCTGCAGAAAAAAAGCCTGTAGTCTCTAGCTGTAGGATTACCCAGTCTCTGCACAGTCTGTAAACCTGAATCAGCTATATATGTATGAAGCACCTGATGAGTATTAGTGTTCTTATATGGAGATAGAGAAGATTTATCAAAGACCTGGTCTACAAGTTTAATGTCTCCAGCTTTACTAACAATATCCTGGGCCATGTAATTTATATTTATGAAAAAATTTGGGATCATCCTGGTTTGGTGCATAGAGATTGGCAAAGATGATTATAGAATTGCGAATTTCAGCCTTGAGGGCAGTAAATCTGCCTTCACTGTCAGACCTTGTGCTCAGAATATTAACATTCAACTTTGTATGTATTTAGTATGGCAATGCCTCTTGCTTTAGAATTAAAGCTACTAGAAACTGAGAGGCCTACCTAATCTCTATTCAGTTTACAAAGCTACAAATTCTGTCAGATCTGTCTCTTGGAGCATGGCAATGCCAACATTCTCTCTTTTAAGCATTGAGTATATTTTTTCCTTTTAAAGGATTATTAAAGCCCTTTATATTCTAGGATATATTTATTTAATTTATTTAATTATGGGAGACTTATTTAATTATGGGAGCCATCATTGTTAAAATATACCTGATAAAACATAGTCACTTTTTGAATAAATGAGAAATGGCACATTTTCCCAAGCAGCATACAGTTCTTGCATATCTAAGCAGCAAAAGTTATATAATCCAGTGGTGGGTGTTACTTCCCAGAACATATTCTATAGGAGTGGGAAGGAAATTCTCTGCATGGGAGGGTAGTAGAAGGGGGCAGAAAGGAATGAAATAAGTTAAAAAAAAAAAAAAAAAAAAAAAAAAAACCACCCTGGAAAAGATAGTGGTGTGAGAAATACATAGTAGTACCCTACAATCAGATAGAAGTATCTGTTTAAACTGTCCAAAATTACCCACTTGACACCCAGAGGGGCAGCAGTGAAACTTGGATATCCTCACATTCGCTGGGGCCCCAAACATTACAACTATAGTAATCACCTATTACTAATAGAACATTGATCCACTGGTCCATAAGGAAGCACCATCTAATAAAACCATGATATGTAATTACTAATCCAGTGATAGTTTTTACATTGATGCTCCTTTCCATGAATTAAGGCAATAGGAAGTACATTGATGATAGCCCTTGAACCCCAATCAGAGAGAGAAAAAAGAAAAGAAACTAACATATCAATATCAACCTAGCACTTATCAACTTGTTTAGAGCAGCCATATCAGAGCTCAGAGAGCAGTACATAAATTTCATATGGTTGGGTCATTCCCTAGATGTCTCCTCTTGTGAAGGAGGAGTTTGCAGATTTGTGAGGTATTTTTCTGCCTCTTAAGGAGAACTGAATGATGCTGTCGTCTTGCCATTCGTAAGATGGAGCATTGCCAGATATTTAATAAAATAGTTCAAGTCCATCGTCCTGGCCAGTTGTTTTGCTTGGTTAAAAGCTGACCTCATTGCAACCACATCATGGGCATAATCTTGAAAGAGTTGTATTTTAATTGCTGGTTCTCCCCATACTAGCGCTTTCTTTTCTCTGGATTTTTGCAATATAAGCTTCTTAGTAGTAAACTTCAGGAATTTCACAATCAGTGCTCTAGGCCGACTTCTTGGAGCTGGCTTGGGGACAAGGGCCCAGTGTGCCTGTTTTATATCAAAACAAAAATCTACCGGCAGATGCAATGTAATTAGCAATTTAGGGACAAATTCAGAGTGTTTACCTTTCTCTGTTCCTTCAGGGACATCCACAAACCTGATGTTACATTGTTGTTAGTGGTTTTCTAGATCAATTAGCTTGGTCTTAATAGTCTTGATATAATTACAGTTCTTCATAACCTGCAAATTGTTTTCTTTGAAGTCATATTCCACTTCACCTGTCCATCTGAATCTCTGTCATGGTGGTCTGTAGGGCGGAAACTGTAGATTTAATCTCAACAGTATTTGTAGCCACCTGTTGTGGGACAGTCATCAGCTGCACTCCATCAGGCTCAGGCACTATCTTGTTTGTAGAAGTTGGGGAGGCAGAACTTTGGGGTTTTTTGGTGCTTTTGGAATCAGAGGAAGATGTGAGCTACAGGGCATCTTGGGGGTTTCAGTAGTCTGGTGCAATATTTCTTGGGGTTAGATGTTGTGTTTTAGGGGACGTTTGGGGATTCCCTGTGGGCCTCTTTAGAGCTCAAGCAACATGCATCCACATTGGTCTCAGTGCCCTCTGGTGTCCCTAAATATTTCCTGTATCAGAGTTGGCCTCTCAATTTTCTTTGTTCACTTTTAAAACAAATGTGTATGAAGTGTAAATGTCAGAGCAGTTTTTAAGATATATGCATTATTTTAGTGAGTGACTAAGCTTGGTCAAAAATTTAAAATTTTAGCCTGTATATTTTGGGTAGTTAAATGTGGTTTTTTTTTTTTTAAAAAATACAGCCTCCTTTTTTTTGGCGGGGGGGAGGCTTTTTCGGAAACAGGCATAGATTGGATACAGGCCCAATTAGCTAAGCATTGTATAAACGTAAATTTAGAGCATTTTCTCATAATGTAAAAGTCAGTTTGTAAATAGAAACAATAGCTTAATCCTTATGACTATTCTCTCTTCTCCCTGCAGAGACATAACATACAGCATTTCCCTGGAAGCTGTGACGACACTTGTTGTCTTCCTTTCCTGCCAACTATTTCACAAGGAAATTCTGCGAGAGAGCGTCATTCATAAATACCTGATGCGTGGCCGATGGTACGTCACATTACAGTGCTGCATTCGACACAGAGAAAAGCAAATAGTTTTTCATGCTGTTGATAAACTTCTGTTCTGTGTTCATAGATTGTTGTACTTGTAGACAGTGTCAGGAGAGGAACATGTAATAACTTTTATTGCATTATGCTGCCACTTAAAAAAAAAAAAATCCAAAACATTGCCAAATGTTAGTGAAATGTTTCACATTTAAGGTTCCCCACACCCTGGTTTCAGTACAGCTTTATTTTGGATCCCGTTTGCCCTTATAACTTGATATGTATCCTTTATAAATTTTATTAATTACTTAAAACTTTTATTTTAAAAGAAATCATTTACTTTTATCTGTGGGTTTTTTCTATAGTATTCCTCTCTGTAGTACCTGAGTGCCTCAAAAATGCTCCTGAAATTATTCCCTGTCAGATAAGGAAGTATGAACCCTATTTGTATAGATGGGGAAAGTGAAAGACAGAAGCTTAGTAGGCCCTGATCTTGTAAACACTGAATCATATACTTAACTTTACTTACATGAATAGTCCCATTGGCTTTGGAGAATTTAGGTAATTAATTCTGAATTGTTTTTAAACATATTGTGGTGGTTTCCCTTGCTTTAATTTATTTAGTTCCAACAACTCTCTTCTCTACCACTAAGAGTCACTGAGGTGAGGTCATGTGTTTCACTAATCAATGTAAATTGGTCCCAACTAGTTTCATAACTATAAATGTTGGAGAAAATACAGTCTATCTGTTTTATGTAGCCAAGATGCAGAGGAATAATGGAATAAGAACTGTATATTTCCTTTCACTGAATAAAAATGTTCTTCTTGGGGGCAAAATATGATGGAGCAAATTGAAGGGATACTATCAGTTTAAAAATCATACTGAAAACAAACGTAAGTCTGTAGGCCCCAGTCCTGCAAGCGATTCCATACAGTGCTCTGCTGAAGTCAGTGGTGCTCTGCAGGAGTCCACTTGTGCAGAGTTGCTTGTTACAGGATCACTACATTACTGATAACATCATAGATTATTAAAAGTGAAAGAATATTAAAAAAATCCCACTTTCCTGAGTGCTGTTTATGCTGTAGCTCTAAACTGTAAGAGAAACAAAAAATAAACACTGGCAATATTAGCTGTAGACCGTAATTCTCCTATAGGCCCGCTGTTGCTGCTTGCTCCTTTTTATATAGCTGATGGAGTGCTTGGTGCACATGTACAGCAATGGGCAAATCAGCATAAGTGTCGGGATGGATAAAAATCAATGAATTTTTAAATAACCCCCCCCCGATTTTTTAAAATTTAAATTAAATAGAGATTTATTAATTAAAAATAGATTTATTAAAATTAAATTTGAAACTGACAACATATGTTAAGAACTAAATTTATCATCTATTACAATCCTGGAAATTAAATACAAAAATATGAAGCAGTACATATTTGCTGCGAAGTTTCCAAGAGGGTCAAGCCGCTGAACTGGTGGAAATCACTGCCTAAGCATGGGGAACCGGAGTTTGCTAAGGTGCTAAATCAGCTTTTGAAAGCAGTAACCTCATCTGCAACTGCATAGAGAATATTTTCTTCATTTCAGGTTATTGAACTAGTTTATTCAAAGTTAATAAACCAAATGGGAGTTGAAATAGCAGGAAAGCTTGTTTTCCTCTTCCAATCTATGGAGAAAAACTAATGAGAGGACTAGTTCTACTAATTCTATAATCTTTAAGGATGTGGTGATCAGAAACAAACAGTTCAATTCACTAACTACAAATACTTCCTTGGGTTACAAAAATTAATTCTAAATGAAAAATATGTTTTCATAAACTTTTTTTTGTATGTATTCAATACATTTAAGGCAGTTTTATTTAATTAAAAATGTTTTTTGTGCATTTTCAAATTAATTTGATTTTCCATCCAAATAGAGCTTGACTCAAATCACAAGTAAAATATTAGTCAACTAGTAAAAAGTTAAGCTATATAATTGCTTAAATAAATGAGTATACAGTGTATCCTCCTGGTTAGCAAGAAACAACACTAAATTTAGTGTAACGATTCTATGTAGTTGCAAATCAAACATTTTAATGGTTATCAACCAGTGAGATTCAACTTGTCTTTGGGAAAATAACTAAAATCTATTCCTGGCTCTGTCTGCTATTCTCAACTATTCCAGTCTTTATCTATCTCAAATATTTCTACAGAACTCATTGCCTTAGCACTTAAATAATAATAATCTGCCATAATTTCTACTTCCTTGGCTTTATTTTTAAGTAGTGAATATTGGGAAACCACTCTGAAGATGCAAGGCTCTAAGAATTTTATGGCATTTATTTTTTTTCTCTTAAATCACTATACTACAGGAAAAATTATATTAAACATACTTATGTCTTATTTAACCTTAGGCAAGATACTTAATTTCATTGTGCCTCAGCTTCCCCCTCTGTAAAACTGGGATGTTTAGTGAATTAAGCCTCTGTGGATTAGGTAAAGTCTGCAGAGATCTCTAAGTTGCTTGGATGGAATGCACTGTAGAGGTGCTAAATATTCCAGTTCTGAGTTTTTATTCACATGGTTAATACCTGCCCTCTTGTGCAAATATATTTATATTAATCTCTCTTTTAAGTTCTAGTGCAGTTACCAATGTTGTTACTTAATGTACTTTGATAAATATTAGATTTTTTTCTTTTCAGTCTCCCATACACCAGCAGACTTGTGAAAACATTATTATATAACTTCATTAGACAAGAGAGAAGCCCTCCCCCAGGTTCCCATGTCTTCCAGCAGCAGACAGATGGAGGAGGATTGCTTTATGGTTTTGCATCTGGGGTGGCAAGTAGGTCTTACCTTTCCTCTAAACAGCTATCCAAATCTGTAGTTTGTGTAATAAGTTTTTTTTATACATGCAATTCATTTCCTTTTGCAGCGATAATACCTGTACCTGTGATTGTGGGGACTTAACCAGTAGCAGGGAGGAGTGAGCAGGAGCAGGAGCCAGCAGCAGAGAGGACTTTTTTTGCAGGTTTTAATAGGTTTGAGGACAGATCTGGAAAGTGGAGCCGGAACTGGGCAAAATTAGAAATAACTCAGAATCTCTGCCATTCTCAAGTATTCAAGTCATTATCAATCTCGAATATTTCTATAGAATCCATCGCCATAGCACTTTAATAATAATAACCTGCCATAATTTCTACCGCTTTGGCTTTAAGTAGTGAATATTGGGAAACCGCTCTGAAGATGTAAGGCTCTAAGAGTTATGGCAAAAAGAACAGGAGTACTTGTGGCACCTTGGAGACTAAGAAATTTATTTGAGCATAAGCTTTCGTGGGCTACAGCCCACTTCTTCGGATGCATAGAATGGAACATATATTGGGGAGATATATATATACACGTACAGAGAGCATGAAAAGGTGGGAGTTTCAAGAATCTATCTCCCCATGTAAGTATTCTCACACTTCTTATCAAACTGTCTGTACTGGGCTATCTTGATTATCACTTTAAAAGTTTTTTCTCTTACTTAATTGGCGTCTCAGAGTTGGTAAGACAACTCCCACCTTTTCATGCTCTCTGTATGTGCATATATATCTCCTCAATATATATTCCATTCTATGCATCCGAAGAAGTGGGCTGTAGCCCACGAAAGCTTACGCTCAAATAAATTTGTTAGTCTCTAAGGTGCCACAAGTACTCCTGTTCTTTTTGTGGATACAGACTAACACGGCTGCTACTCTGAAACCTGAGAGTTATGGCAGTTATTGTTTTCTCTTAAATTACTGTACTACAGGAAAAATTGCATTAAATATATTAAGTGTAATAACAAGGGAAAGCTTCTCCCAAGACATGATATGAATCATTCTTGTAAGCCATCCTTTTCTGGATGTCTGCTATAGTTTGAAGTAATTTTGTCTCTGCAACGATTGCAGATAAGTCTTAACTGCATCATTGCATGTGGTGGAAAGGTGGTCACATGCATTTTATTTTCATTTTCCTCTTGTTTAGAAGTGTATTGAAGAAAAATTAATTAGAAATAATTATGTCTGTACTTCTGCCAAATTACACATTGCAAGATATGTAAAATGGTGACCATAAACTGATTGACCCTTTAACACCTCTGATTGTTTTAATCTAGGATTATACATTTTTTTTTGGTTGAATAGGAAGCAACAAACTTACATAATTATCTATTTGTTGTACTTGCTTGATGGAGCTGGAGGGATAGTGGCCTAATCAGTTTTGCAACACTTTATCTGTGCCTCCACTATGGGCAGTATGTGGCACTGTAACCCATACTGTAAACCTAGAATACAGCGATTTAAAGGGGTTTTTCCGTCACTGTAACAGGTTTTTCCCTGAGCAACAGTAGCTAGGTTGACAGTAGCATTCTTCCCTCGACCTAGTCGAATCTACACTGATGGTTAGTTCAACATAGCTATTGCACTCAGGACTGTGGAGCTATGTTAACCTAAGTTTGAAGTGTGGACCAGACCTTATGCTCCAACATATCCAGATTCTAGAAGGTTGATAGTTAGTTACTTTCATCACAGGCACGGTATATAATCTGAGTACCATGTAGCGTGTTGTGGTTTGGTTTTCTGCTTAAAAACAGAGGTACTGTCTGCTGAGACAATACTAAAGGTCCTATGTCATCTTCCTAAGATGAGGGTTTTTCCTACTGTCCTTGATAACAGTTTTTCATCTGTTTTACTGTTGTGCTGAGTTCTGTCTTGTTGTTGCCAAGGAGAGGTTGTATTTCTGTATATGTGTGTTCAGTGTATAGTATGCAAAGTCCTTTGAGATGAGTAGTGCTACATAATGGGAAGAAGAGAATATATCTACTATGTTAAATAAACATTGTACATTCCTTTTTTTAAAAATCTGACCAGTTAAATGACTACTCCGTGCAAGTGTGTTGCTGCTGGAATGTAGACTTTCTGTTTTATTCTTTTGTGCAATCCATTCAGTGACTGCTTCTCTAAGGAGTATTAAAATTCAGACCCTGAGTGGTTTGCCAGGAAATACTTTACAGTCCAACTGGGACTGTGTATCTGGATCTCCTCATGGAGGTGGTAAAAGAGCATGTCTTTATAACACAGTGCATAGTGCTAAACATAGTGCTATTTACACATAAAGAGATATAGTCACACATCTTTATATCTGTTAGCCCATATTTCTTTCAAAATTTCAAATTCTGTTTACAGTTTTCTAATAGGGAAATATGCTGACATTGACAGTGTTTGAATTGTGCCCAGAATCTGTCATAAAGCAGTTGTTTCCCTTGCAATATAATTTGACACTTCTTTTTTAAATAACTGAACATTTATGTATACATATATTGTTTATAAAAATCATGTTATCCTGAGGGTTCTGACACCCAGTCCCTGTTCTACCCACCAATCCACTTTTCTTCCTCTTATTTCAGTCTTAGAAGGATATAGTGATAAGTACTTTAAAACTGTTTAAAAGGTGAGTTTCTGTATGGTTTGTGATCTTGTTTACAACATGGAAAACAACCTTTACTGTATATTTTCTTGATTCCTGCTGTTTCTCTCCATGTCTTCCTCCATAGTCCCAGGCTTTCCAATCATGCTCCAATATCTGCCCACTTCAAAGGGACATCAGCTACCATGGCCAAATTACCTACCCCTCCATACCCAGACCCCCCCCCGAACCTCACCCCCCACACCTCCACTCTGCCAAGCCCCACCCTCTCCTGCATCTGGACCCCCTGTGAGCCCCTCCCCCTGCACCCAGATGACCCGCCGCTGAGCCCCCCCTTGAATTTGCACCCCGATGTGTCCCCCCGCACCTGGACTTCCCCGACAAGCCTTCACCTTCCCCCCGCCCCCACTGAGCCCCAACTAGCTGCACCTGGACCCCACCCCACCAAGGCCCACTCTCCCAGCATCAATGTTCCCTCTAAGCTGCGCAGTCGTGCAAGAGTCAATCAAGTGCCACACACTTGATTAGTAGAACTGTGCACCGTGGTGATGTGTGTTCCGGTGCTCCTCCCCCTGCTGCCGCGCTGCTCCTGCCCTCTGCTTTGGAGCCCCTGGCCAGCTGCTCCCGGGACCCTCTTGCTTGCTGTGCAGGGAGGGGCAGCGGGGAAGGAGTACTGATGTCAGGGGTGGAAGTGAGGTGGGGGGAGGGGACACCATGTTCCCCATCTCCACAGAGCGGGAGAAGGGGGACAGGGCTTGGGACTTAGATGCAGCTGCTGTGGTCTGTACGAGCCTTCACTGGTGAGTGCCTCTCTGCTTAAAGAGACAGCGCACGGTCTCTCATACACTTCCCCAGCAGCCAGCACGTGCGCGCGCGCACGCACACACACACACACACACACACACACACACACACACACACACACAC